GGTTGTGGGCTCACCAGCTCTGCGGGATTAGGAAGCTGAGGACATGTCCTCAGACATCACGGTGTCTCATGCCTAGCCTCAGCCCGGCCATGTTAGATTTCTGTGGCCTTTTAAATGATTGAATAATGATGGATATGGATCCGAAATAATAAATGACTTCTCTACTGAAACAATAGAAGATTCTTCACATCGCCTTCCAGTAGCTCACTTTCAGTCTTCAGAAAAGGGCAAAACAAGTGAAATACAGAAAACTGAAGAAAAGAAAACCTCACTTTGGAACTGTCTTTCTCCTTGACTACTCCTTAACCCCCATCTTTCTACTTGTTTTAATTTTGCTGTGAATTTATAAATAGTGAAGACCAAAGAAATAGAAGATACATTTGGGAGCTTTATACCAAGAAATTTGCCTTGAAAGCTGCTATTCTTTGGAGGGAAAAGTATATCAAGTTCCTGTCTAATTTTCTTAAAAACAAGATTTCTTATATCCTTAGATTTTGAAGAATAAAACAAATATAAATACATATCTGCACATTTTTTTTTAGCAGCTGTGTAAGAATAATGAGATTTGTAAATTAAGGACTTTGTCACATGGATGTTTTACCACTGGAGTTGAATGCTCAGAAGATCTTTTATAGCTGAAACCGGTTTGGCTCAGTGGATAGAGCGTCAGCCTGCGGACTGAAGGGTCCCAGGGTCTATTCCGGTCAAGGGCATGTACCTGGGTTGCGGGCACATCCCCAGTGGGAGATGTGCAGGAGGCAGCTGGTCGATGTTTCTCTCTCATCGATGTTTCTAACTCTCTATCTCTCTCCCTTCCTCTCTGTAAAAAAAAATCAATAAAATATATTTTTTTAAAAAAGATCTTTTATAACTCTTTAATATTATATTTTTGATCTATCACTTAGATGACATTATTTGCCTTTGCAAGTCCACCTGTCTTTCTAGTTATGCCCTTGTTATAAACGGTGTTTGTACTCACTGTGCAAATATTCATGTATTATCTATTTAAACATCATCATAGAGCCATCACTCAAGGAAGTTGAATGTGGTGAACATAGACATAGGTCTTTCCCCTTCCCCCCATTTTTAGTATATGTGCTGCCGAAGCAAGCACAAAAAATTTAATTATTTTTAAATGTAACAAATACTTTATCTTCCCCTTCTCCTTTCCCCTCCCCGCTTTTCCCTTTTGGAAACCGTGTCAGGAACTAGGTAGTTTAAGATGAGCAATTGAGGGGACTGAGAGAGTGATCCACACAGAGCCTGGCTTCTTTGTGCTTCATCATAAGGTGTGCTGCTGGTCAGCCTTATTAACACATTTCGTACCTCATAGAAATCTCTAAGACATACGCCAGGGACCGCACATTTTTGGGCAAACTGCACGTTATTTAAATCATCATAACTACAGATCATAATGCACTTTAGGTGTTGTTTTTCAATAATTATAACATTTTTATTTACAAAACAATTAAACAATTAAAGTTCCTAGTATTTTTTTAACGTATGGTACTGCGTAAAACATTTTCCTCTATGAAGAGGGACCAAACAAAATTTACATAAGTATCTAGATTCGCTCCTTTTTCCATGGGCGTGAATCAGTTTACTTGGTTTCCTTCCTTTTTCTGAGAGAGGGCAATTTCTAAAAGCGCCAGGAACTTGAAGACAAAGACTATTCAAATGACCAAAATACAATGTAACTGCAATGCTTTATGGGGTCGTGCAATTATATAGTTTTTCGTAGATTGACCTGCACAGTTTCCACCAATGAGATCGCTTCACTCGATGTGGACAAGACAGTGTGTTGACATCTAAGGTCCATAACAGATGGCACGTGAAAAATGAGAAAACTCATGAGCGGTCCTTAACAGACGGCGAGCGAAACATGAGCAAACTCGTGAGTGGTACGAAAGGTGTTAAGCACCCTTCTAACGAGAACCTTGTGGGAAATCAGCTGGCAGACTCAAGGAGCTCAGGAAACAAGACCACAGAAGTTACACTCTGGGATCCTGGCCATGAGGTTGGATGCCTCACCTTGCTGAAAAGAGACACTGGACCTAAATGGCGCAGCATGACTTTGTTCCTGCTTGGCTAAATTTTTCAACACCACAGGCAGTGAAGTCACCTACAGCCACCTTTGAAAAGCACGGAGAGCACCTACCCCGAGGAGATGGCAGATTTGGAGTAAGCCGTCATCTCGACATAATTCCTCTGATGGCTTTGTTAACAATGGACCTCCACGAACTACAGGAGATTCCTGGCACCAGCCCTCCCTGTTTCACCATGATTCTGTGCACTTAAGTGTCTCTAAGGGAGCATATGCTGGAATCACAGGAAACCTATCTGGTTGGCATGGCTCTTCCCGTGGTCATGATGGCATGAGCCAGCGTAGTGGGGGTGGCGCAGGAAACCATCACCACTGGAATGGCAGCTTGCACTCCAAGAAA